CATCTTTATGGTTGTTGTCTTTATGGTGTATGACTAGGGTGTTTCTCTCGCATTGGTTGATATAGAAGATTGTACATGGGCCTCTCTACTCTCATGCACCTTAGTAATTAGCATCAAAAGTAAAAATACATTTGTGGTATAGTTACATGTTGTGTGAATGAATTATTGTGCATCATCATTGACTAGTAGATACATTGTTTTACAATCTCCCACTTCATAGAAAGGAGACATAGAAGAAAGATAATGGTGATTGTTCTCCTTATTTTCCTTGATAATTGGTGACTATGCTCTAGACCACCAGATAAGATTTTTGTTTTGACTGCACAATAGAGCGGCATATCTTTATATCATAGAGGGAAGAAATAGCAGTCCCATACAAAATAATGTCCTTGTCATCACTAGGAGACAAGGGAAGGATGCCCAACATCATGTTCTTTACATTTAGATGGCATCGAGGATTTCAACAAGCATTTCCATGGCTCAAAAGTGGTTGGTCCATAGAAGAATGTCCTGTATGTAGATTTAGATGTTAATGACCCACTTTTTCTCATGTCTACAAAACATTGCCAGCCTCTTGTGTGGAAGGTGTAGCAATAGTTGAGATCAAGTCCTGCGTTCCTATCCATAGTGCATGCTTCCCTCATCTAGGAAAAAAATGATGATCTAGGCCTAGGTTGAGGCATCCAGCATACTCCACCAGAGGTTGAGGCCTAGGCTGAGCTGCTGCGCGCGCGTCCAAGGAAGCCTCGAGAGGGGTGTTGATGCTTAATTAGATCACACACTGCATAAGGAGCTAGATCGCTTGATGTAGGACCTAGCCGACTTTGTGGTCGGCCGGCGCCTAAGTGATGTCAGCACCCGGTGCCTTCAGCGATGAGCGTGATACACAAGACACATCGTCAGAGGAGCATCACCGGGAACGGGATACGCAAGACACATTGGCAAGGTCTCTTGAGACCAAAACCCCACACTCCCGAGAGGGACCCCCGTCGTGGCGTGTGGCGGCTATGGGATGCCCTAGCCAGCCTGACTGCTCTAGAGCATCATCGTCGTCAATGCTCCAGCCATGCAGCACCGACGAATAACGAGAAGAAGAGATAGATGGGAAAAGAGGATAAATAGAGGTAGTAGATGTGTTTTTGACGATTGGACGGTTGGGAACTCAATCGGCCATGTATCCCTTATTTTATAAGGAGTAGGGATGGTCTTATCCTGTCGAAAAACCAATGTGGTACTATTATCATGTTGCATTATAGAGTTTTCTTTAGATTGGCCAAAACTGGCATAGGCCTCTTAGAATTGTCAACAAGGGGATAGGAGCAGTGGCCGAGCTAGCAACAAAATATATCATGGGGGAGGGGGGGGGGCATTTTGCCTAATATGTATCAGCATGTACACAAGTCCCATATAAGTCATGATATAATGGATGGAAGCTTAAATTAGAAAACATACGAACGAGGAAAAATTGGGATAACAATCACAACATCTTAATTTCTTCAGCTATACCATCCTACTATTGCTGGACACCTGGACCTGCTCAGTTTAGCATTTGGTAATCGGAAATTAGGAAGCAATGAAGCAAAGCTAATACTGTAGAACAAGGAAATTCGATTTAGCACTCACGGATTCACCAGTCACCACTCAAGCAGCTAGCAGGATGGATCGGATTGGCCAATTCGGGATTTGATTTGAGAGTTGAGACTGGAGATAGAGAGAGCAGGGCAGCCGTACGTACTCGGGGATGGAAGGGAAGGGAGCAGCTGACGGGGATAGAAGGGAAGAGAACGAGTACCTGCTTGGGGACGCTCCTGTTCGAGTTCATGGGAGGCGGGAGAGGGGACGGCGGTTGCAATGACGGTGTGGGGATGACGGCTGCGGCGCCTCGGGCGAGTACGGCGACAACGATGAGAGCGCAGCGGGAACGGCGGCCCGGGTGGCGGCCGTGCCGACGAGGAGGGCGGCCATGGCAGGGATGGCGGCCCCCACGAGCTCACGCACGGCGGTGGTGAAGAGGCCCCGAGACGAGATGCGGCTGCTGGGGTGAGATTCGTGAGGTGTGAGAGATGCAGCTGCTGGGTTGGGTAATGGCTGGAGATAGGGTTTTTGGTGACACTCTGACTGGTGGGCCGCGCTAATTTCCATGTGCACGAGTGAGCTGGCTGAGCACATCAAAATGAAAATGGGCTATATCGACCAGTCGTTTGACTCTAAGATGTGTTTTGAGCGACCAATGGTGTGAGGTAAACAGCTAATATATACTGTCGGTACGAGTACAAATAGCGACCGATGATCTGTTAGAAATTTATACCGACTGATAATTGTTTGTTAATATTATGTTTTAGCGACCATTGTCCGATGCTATAGATTGGCTATGGTATAGTGAATCTCCGCACCCTTGTTTCATGGGCTAAATGAGCTTGAATCTGCTACGACCCTACACCAAGGTTGACTTGGTTTTGCATATTTCCTCGCTGCATGAATTTCACCCATAGAAACACACGACATATTTAATAATCGAGTATGATTGATGATATAATGCACGCTGAGTGTTTTGTCCTGTTTGGTAGAACATTTTCAACAAATGTCACTAGTGAGAAATAAGTTTGGGATGGAGTGAAAGATAAAAAAAATCCCACATATAGTATGGTATGGGACCTATGAAAGTTGCAAAAACACTAAGAACAACTAAGGGATGTCTCAATGCACTGAATGGGGTGATTTTGATTGTATTAATTAGATTGCTAACATGCACCGTGAGTTAATAGGGAAAGAGACACTATTTCTCGTCTTGTTGTGCCTTGTATTCCACGTAGATGAGGTACCCGTTTGGTTTCAGCTTCTTGTGTAGCCTGCTTGGTGTACCCTAGGTACATATCACCGACACTTTTGATAGCGACTATCAAGGTGGGGCCCACGTGTCATACTCTTTTCCCTTCCTTCTTTCTCACTCCCCGAAACTTAGCCCAAAACACAATATGGTTACGCCTAGCGCAGCCGCCCATCCTATACACTGGATCATGCTCGCACGTCCTATCCACCGGGGCCTAGCTCGCTCGTCCATGTAGGAGCGGGCCTTGATCACTCATGCCGGATGTGCCCACTGCCACACCTGTCCGCAAACTTAGGGCACCGACAAGCTCCGCTCGAACGATCTATAGCTATACACAGTTTTGGCTAGTGGCTCTCGATAGTGCCACCGTCGGACATCATTGTGCTGCACCCCGCTGCGTTGTTCCTCTCTCACTCACCGCCACTGTGCACAGAAGGGGAAGGAGAAATGGGAGCTAAGCACTACGCCAGATTCTCACACTAAGAACGGGGTCATTTTTACTGTAGGGGCGGCTGGGGTTGGGGGCGCCCCTACAGTGGGCGTCCTCAGGCCCCAGCAGCCCAGCCGCCCCTACAGATGGCACTGTAGGGGCGGCTGGTAACCTGAGCCGCCCCTACAGTTGGGGATGATCTGTAGGGGCGGCTCAATCACCAGCCGCCCCTGCAGTGCCCATTTGTCTTTGAAAGGTTCAAATTTAGTTAAATGATAAGATAACCAAAATAAAAGTTGTAGATCTTGATGAGTTGAACAACTTTTGTATTCATCACTTTTACATCTGAAATCATTTAGGGTTTTAAAATTTGGTTTGAACTTGTCAAATTTCAAATTTCAAATTTTAAAATGCGTAAAACATTGTCACATCCAAGTTTGATCAAACTTAAATGCTGAAGCATGATTTTAGAAATTTTTAGGAAAAAAAACCATCACATTTGGAGTTAGTATAAGGGAGAACAACTAGTTACAAAGTTTACCCACAGATTAAAAAGAGAAATCACACTGTTCTAGATGATCCTTACATGATCACAGTGAACAGTGTGATTTTTTTTTAATCTGTGGGTCAACTTTGTAACTAGTTTTTCTTCCTCGTACTAACTCTAAATCTGATGATTTTTTTTTCTAAAATTTTTTAAAATCATTCTCTATCAATTTATTTTGTTGGTTTTGTCAATATATATATATATGAAAAGTTTGAGCAATTTAAATTTTGAATTTTAAAAAAATGCAACTTCAGACAAGATATTGGTACCCCAAATGATTTCAGCTGAAAAAGTGATAAATACCAAAGTTGAATAACTCATCAAGATCTACAACTTTTGTATTGATCATTTCTTCATATGACAAAGTGGTAATGACATTGTTCACAAATGTGACACATCTCTCGTAAGGTTTTATAAACTATATGAGACATGTGTAAGATTAGTGAACAATGTGTGCTAAGAATTTGTCAAATGAAGAAATGACCAAAATAAAAGTTGTAGATATTCATGAGTTGAACAACTTTGGTATTCATCACCTTTTATGTTGAAATCTATTTGGATCTCAAATTTTGGTTCAAACTTGTCGTTTTTTAAAATTTCAAATTTGAAAGGTTCAAATTTTGTCAAATGACAAGATGACTAAAATAAAAGTTGTAGATATTAATGAGTTGAACAACTTTGGTATTCATCACTTTTTATGTTGAAATCATTTTGGGTCTCAAATTTTAGTTTGAACTTGTCATTTTTTCAAAATTTCAAATTTGAAAGGTTCAAATTTTGTCAAATGACAAGATGACCAAAATAAAAGTTGTAGATCTTCATGACCTCTACAACTTTGATGTTTATCAAAATTTCATTTGAGATCATTTGGTGTCTCAAAATTATTTTAGTAGTTTTGACCAAAATAAAATTATTTTAGATGTTTATCAAATTATTTCGACCGTTTGATCTTGCGTTTCACGGCTCAGATCCCTTTCCACCTGAAGCCCATCTGCTTATGCAGGCAAGCCCAGCTCGCTCGGCCCACTTCTCCAACCATCCTCCGCCCACCGTTCCAAAACCCTAGCCCATCCGACGGTCACGAGGCTCCCATCGCGCGAATATAAGTGCTCCTCCCACCCAAACCCCGGCTTTCTCCGTGCACTCCATCTCCCTCCCCGCCGCCGCCACCGCCGCACGCATCCGCATCCGCCATGGGTGAGCTCCTCCTCCTCCGTCCCGCAAATGTTCTCTGGTCTCTCCGTGCAGGCGAACCTTTCCGAGTCGTCTCTCTCTCTCTCTCTCTCTCTCTCTCTCTCTCGGCGGCACATTGTTCTGCTTGCGCAGGGCGATACAAGCACGTGTCGGAGCTATGGAGGAGGAAGCAGTCGGACGTGATGCGCTTCGTGCAGCGCGTGCGCTGCTGGGAGTACAGGCAGCCGGCCATCGTTCGCCTCACCAGGCCCACCCGCCCCGACAAGGCCCGCCGCCTCAGCTACAAGGCCAAGCAGGTAGATCTCCCTGCCTGGCGCTCTGCTCTCTTGCCTGCCGCGAGATAGTGATATGGATATAGGTTGGTGGTGGGCTTGCAGCCGTTTAGGATTTGATCTTCGCAGTCATATCTCCGTCTGCTAGTTTGTGTTTATAAGATTTTCACGGCTGTGGGTGGACCATTTCTACTGTAGTTTCAGGCGATAGATCATCGTTAGCTTTCTGTGTGCAAAATGTAGAACTGCTTAGGGGTATCACTCCTACTTATGCTGTTCAGTCGTGGAGCCTTTGTTTGGGGATTAAGATGTTTGCATTCGATATTAATGCTTGAATTTAGATTAGGATAAGTTGTGCTAGCTACTAAATTGATTGAGTACAACCGTGTCCGTGTGAGGCGTGGTGGCAGGAAGAGGCCTGTGCCTAAGGGTATTGTGTATGGCAAGCCCAAACACCAGGGTATCACCCAGCTCAAGTTCCAGAGGAACAAGCGGTCTGTTGCTGAGGAGAGAGATGGACGTAAGCTTGGTGGTTTGAGGGTTCTTAACTACTACTGGGTGAATGAGGTATGTCGGTTTGTAACAAAAAAAATTGTCTACAAATTACTAGCTTATGGGTTTCAAATCTGTTTTGTGCTAATGGCTTGACATGTCCATCTTTCCTAACACAGGATAGTACCTACAAGTACTTTGAGATCATCCTTGTGGATGTTGCCCACAAAGCCATCAAAACCGACCCAAGGATCAACTGGCTATGCAACCCCGTGCACAAGCACCGTGAGCTCCGTGGCCTCACTTCCGCAGGCAAGAAGTTCCATGGTCTGCGCGGCAAGGGCCACACCCACCACAAGAACAGGCCCTCCAGGAGAGCCACCTGGAAGCGCAACCAGACCCTCTCCCTCCGCCGCTACCGCTGAGCAGCTTGTCCGGGGCTTTGGATACTGTCACTGTCGAACTTGTCCCAAGCAAAACAAAAACTTTGGATGTGTTTAGTTGCATGTAGGTGAATGTGTAAGATTTTAATTGTTGCTAATGATGGACTTTTGTGAATTATGACTTGTGATGATGTTCTAAATAATGGTCTTGTGTTTGTGGATGTATATATGTATATTTGTGGCGGTTAGATTCGAATTTGATATATATATATATATATATATATATATATATATATATATATATATATATATATATATATATATGTGTGTGTGTGTGGTCAGATTTGAATTTGAATTTTTTTTTGCTGGAAAATCCACTATAGGGACGGTTCTTGATTGAACCGCCCTTACAAATACATACAGCAGGGGCGGCTGGTGATACAGCCGCCCTTACAGAAGTCCACTACAGGGGCGGCTGAAAACACCAGCCGCCCCTACAGAGGGCACTGCAGGGACGGCCAGGAAACCACCCCTACAGAGGCACCCGCTGTAGGAACACCCTGGGAAGGGCGGCTGGCGCAGCCGTCCCTACAGTTAACTTCTGTAGCAGTGAAGGTTTCTCGGCGCAGCTGGCGCATGCAGTAGTGGGGCCCTGATGCGAGCACGCAAGATACGAGTCATCGGACTAGCGATCTAGGGCGCACAGTGGTCAGCGCCCGACTCCACACATGCAGAGCAGGGCAAATGAGCTGCTTTTTTGGCCTAGTTCCTGATTTTTTGCATCTGATGAGTTAATGGACCACGCTGAAATCAGCATGTCTCAAAAAATTTAATGGTCCCAGCAAGAAATTGTGTTGTTTTCTTTTATTAGCTCCTAGCCAGTTTACTAGGATCAATTTTTGCTAAGACATGAGGATTAATATGTTTTTACTATGCAATCCATGCTGTAATCAGTTAGCTTGCTTGGCACCCAACAAACTCATGGCCGAGAACTACCAATGCTCAGGCCGGCAGCAAGAGGCCATAGTCGCGTCCCTCTCCATATCTCCCGCCATAGAAAATCCCCCTTCCCTTGGCTAACCAAGTGGACTGCTAGCCACAAAACCTCAAATACCCAACACCAAACCACAAATGCCAAACAAAAAACAATAAAGGAACATTTATATTCCTTGCCTGGCAGTGGCATCACCTCATTCGACAAGGCTAGCCATTTGGTAACTGCTCGGTTATATAGTATGCTTGGTTAGCTTGCATGCCTAGGCGAGGAAACTATTGTCCATGTAGGTGAGTCAAATCGGCATACACGGGCATCCCAAATCGGCACCGAATCAAACACAAATTAAATTCGCACCACCGCAACAACCTTTACCGTTGTCGGATTGAGCTCCCAAGCACAAATAAAGTTTCTGTAGATTGAGGCACGCTATCAACGAATCAACCTCCTCCACCATTGGATCGAGGTTCAGCATCAACAAATCGATGTGCAGTGGTGGAGAAATGAGCCATGACACGAGGTGAGGACAGCGCCGACAAGGGAAGCAGACGTCCCCATCGAATTGTGCCTACTTTGCCTGATAACGTGAGGTGAGCATCGAAGAAGGAACCCAACATACCCTAAATCCAACACTTTTTGTCCAAAATTGTGGCTACTGAGCTCCAATTACTAACATGCTTACATCTGAGCATGGCGGGGGGTAAGAGAGAGAAGGGGAAGGATAGGGGACCAACATACATTAGCTAATGATGGTGGTACCGCAGAGATAGGAGGCGGCGTGTAGGTTTCATCAGAAGGGATATATTTATCTTTTACCATATTTAAAATGGCTTGTCTCCAAATTTCAGTTATATATAGACGATCCTATAGACTTATAAAGGGGGACAGAAATCAACACATGGAAGAAGACTCTTTTGCCCCACTTCCTTAATGCCTTCACTTAGCACAAACCTATGGCGACCTCGCACGGATAGCACAAACCTATGGCCCCCTGGCCTGCAGCATTGCCGACCAATCCGATCTCCCCTGCCCTACGATATGGCGGCATCACGTAGAAGCTCGTGGTTGGCCTAGTGTCGTTCGGCGTGCTGCCACAAATCACTCTAGCCTCGAAATGGTTGAACTACATATCATCTACAAGCGATGGTAGATGTCCACGTGATGATGGTTGAGGAAACCCATTCAACACCATCATATTAGGAATTGATGAGTTCAAGATTTCCTCTTAGCCAGGACACTTTCTCAGCCCTCGTACTGGAAGTGCTAGTCAACATAATTAGTTATTTGCACTTGTTGTTGGAATCCCCTTTGCTTCGCTCCCTCTTTATCTCTCTACACACGCGCACACACACACACCCACGCACCCGCACACCCGCACATGCACGCACACACACATACACGCTCAAACAGGCACGCACGTGCGCGCGCACACACAAATACACACACACGCACACACCCATGTGCACACCCACACACACCCTTCTAAACAAATGGCTCAACAATGGTACCCTTCTCAGTTCACTAGCCCTAATGTTGTGTTGTTTGCTCATCCTATGTCTTTCTATTGAGCAGGTCAGAGGCTTAGAGAACATATGGCTCTTTGACTCCGGATGTTCATGCCACATGACCGGTAGTCCAAAATGGTTCTCTAGCCTCAACCCTGGTGCATGGTCAGCAATACATTACTTCCAGGGTAACAGTAGAGTTAAGATTGTCTCTTATGGAGCAATTCAGGTAAATGAGAACTTTGTCCTTAAGGATGTTGCTTTGGTTAAGAATTTTCATTTCAATCTCTTGTCTATTTCGCAACTTCTTGAGGATGGTTTCGAGTGCACTTCATCAACACTACTACAGATTGATCGATCACCGTCGCCACTTTCACTATCGTAGAATACATAAGCGACGGTGTGATACTTCCACCGTCGGTTATACCAGAGTTTTGAGATTAAAGTTGTTCCACTGCTGCTGCCGATTCATCAGTGTTCCGGCGCCCTGGCGTTCCTCCTTCCTCTAGAACAGCAACAGCGATGGCGGCGCTTCTCTTCCACTTTTCCATTGCTTGCCTCCAGACACGGAGAGGTGCAGGGAAGATAAAGCACCTCACTGAGATGATGGTGGAAGTTTTGTGAGGTGCGGCCTTGTCCTTGCTCTCCCTATCTATGGCCTAGTAGGTCTTTAGGGTGCTCTAGGAGAGCTCCTTGATCAATGCAGATCTCCTGTTGGGCCCCATACTCGATAGTTTATCAATTGATAGGTCTTTGTTATTGTGCACCCAGTAGCCTTTGATAAGTCTCTGTTATTGTACAACTGTGAAATGTAAATTTAGTTATCACTGAAAATTTTTCTCATGTGGCTGTGATATGCTTCTTACTGTGTGGTTTATATATAGTTTTTGCCTTAAAAACAAATAATAACTTAATGGCTATGATGCTTGTTACTCCCTCCGTTTTTAAGTGTCGTATTATTTCCTTTGGCCACACAAACGTGAGATAATGCACCTCACTAAGATTCTGCTTGGGTTCAAGTTTGCGAGGTGGTCCTTCTTCAAGATTGGATGCTTTATATTCCATCTTGCACCTCTCATGGTCAAGAAGCATATGTGCATCCCTTGACCGTGGGGGTTGCAAGATGGAAGGCAGAGCATCTCACTAACAGTGAAGTTTTGTATGTGCAAACCACCGTATGATAGGGCTTTGTTATCATGTAGACCTAGAATCCCTGGCCCATTCCCTAACTCTGGGATTGGAACCTGTGTGCGTGTAACACCTGGTTTTAAGAACAAAATCAGATACACACCATATATGAGCTCAGGAAGTCAAATCATACATATGGCTATAAATAGAGGTAATACCAATAGATAATGCTTAATATATAACGTACTTATTACAAATAATACAACCTTAGATAGTAGACAGCTTCAAATAATATATAACGTACTTCTTTAGACGAAAGCTCCAAATCCACAGGGACAACTGACTGGTTGATCACAAACCTAACTCCTTCAAACTCTAGCAATCTGGTACCCATCCGGAATTTTTTCAATGTATAGAAAAGTAAAGCAAGCGTAAGTACATATTGTACTCAGCAATATAACATGGGGTTCATGAGGCTCAAAAGGTTGACACTAGTTCACTGCGATTAGCTTTTAGTAAGTCATAATTTTAGCAATTGAGTAGCACTAAGTTTAGCATAAGCCCCAAATAACCACATGATCATGTAAACAAGATTAATGTATAGCAAAAACAATAATCATAAGCGAGCATCTGTATCATCAATATCATTAGTGTTCATCATCTATTTAGTAAGGAGCCCAGGCCGCTCATGACCGTGAGCACTACTGATATACCAGATTTACACTGCAGAGGGTGTACACTTTCACCATGAACCGTGATTTACCCTTTCGCCTGAGACGGCCAACCTCTTGACCCACTTCCAAGGAAGGTCAGTAGGGTTCACTATGAAGTCTTTCAAAGGTTTGTCTAATAAGTGTAGCCCGCTACGTTTCCCCATCAATAAGCATGAACTCCCCTCCAAGGGGTGACTAACAAAAATACAAAGAAACCAAAGTGCACCATCTTGGCAGGCTGAGAACATACAGATTGGATCCCCTCTTGCGCCTTTCGGTAAGCTACTACAAGCTAGAAAAAGGTCCTCATACTTGACTAATGCCAGAGCCATATAGCACTCATGGTTGTACTGTAAGTCCCGGGGAAATCCACTTACAGATAAGTCCTTAAGCAGAGGAATCTAGAGCGCCACAAAAATAATGCACTAGCCCCCTTATTCTATGTTGCTAAAAATCATATTTAAACGTTTATTGCATATACTATTAGTCAAGTTACAGATCATGGTTATTTAATTGAGCACTAGCATAAATACTATCCAATGCAATTATCCCGTAGGTATAAGGTACAAGGTACAAAAGCTAGGATATCCTTAGTGGTAGACAAGGTAGACACATGCACTTAAATTAAGTGATTAAAGGTGAATAGGTAACAAGAATGATCCTATGCTATACTTACCTTTACTCTGATCTTCTGCTGATTCT